CAGAGAGGAAGGGAGAGGGAGAGGGATACAGAGTTAGAAACATCAATGAGAGAGAACCATTGGGGATGTGCCCGCAACCCAGGTACATGCCCTTGACCGGGAATCGAACCTGGACCCCTTCAGTACGCAGGCCAATGCTCTATCCATTGAGACAAACCAGTCAGGGCGTTGTCATGGGATTTTTATCCTCTGAGATAACTGGGCTGATTTCAGCACCTCTCAGCCTTTACTCATGCTGTCCATTCTGTCTTTTCAGTTTCTTTCCCTCCTGCCTCATCCTATATCTATTCGGACCTGGCTCCCAATCTCCCCTCTATGAAGCATTCTCTGTTTCAACTCTCCCTGACCTCATTCATTTCTGCACTTGTCATCTCATTTGTGTGGAATGCTTTAGCCCTGAATTTTCCATTGTCTTAATTTTCTTCCCAAGAGATAATCTTGTCTTTCTATGTGTTAATTTGTCTGTGGGGGATATTATTTGATATAAGTGTACCTATCTGTGTATACATTGAACACATTTGAGCTTACCTATTGTTAAGATACAACTAAATACTTTATATCACTGGCAGTCTTGGAATTCAAACCAAGATATTTGATCAACACAATGTTGAGGTAAAGAGTCTTCTGCATTGGCAAGAAGAAGATAGCTCTAGCTTTCCCAAGCCTTCAAACAATATAGTTGAGATAACATGTGAAAAGAACTTCAGAAGACTTTTATTGGTCAGGTCTCTATGAAATAAGAATGTATTATTATTTTTAAAGGCAAATAATTGACAATCTGCCACTTGCAAAAATAACATTTGCATTATAAGAGAAAAACAAGACAGAGAATGCTGGTCAACATCCTAAGGGTGAAGGTGCCCCCAAACTCAGAACACAACAGTAGTACACTCAAAGTAATGCCAATAAGAATAAACATAAAATGTACAAGCTTAGCAATCTACAAGGGCGATCCAGGTCACTCATGGTTTATGAGTGTGTGGTTGAGGGATGTTCTTTATGAGGAGCAAGAAGGGAGAAGGAAAAGTAACAGATGACCTCAGTAAAGGGTCAAGGCTAGAAATGTGATTAGGGAGTCTGGTTTGAAGTGCTGAGATT